AGGTTAAAAAGACAAAGATAGTTAGAAGCTAAAGCCGAACTATAGGCTACAGATCACAGTGTAAAAGTGAACCACCACATCACTGCTGATCGACACAGAAGACAATGAATATAAAGGGAAACTTTGCTGATATTGAACCAGCTGTGTGGCATCACAGTGTGTGCAGATGAACAGTGTTTGGCTTCGCCCCCTTGCTGCTGCCAGCACCCAGACCTCTGCTGCCGGATGGGCAGGGATCTCTGGGGGAAGTCAAACAACGTTCATCTGTGCACAGTGCGATGACACACAGCTGGTTGAAAATCAGCAAAGTTTCCCTGTTTCCCTTCACTGGTTCCTGTGCAGCAGGGTCGGCCTTTATTTCACTGTTATAATCATTAAAAAGCAAAAGCAGCATGTGTATACATTCAGTAGGCTATATCTTCAGTAGCTAGCTAGCTAACCCTACACTTTTCAGGGTTTGATTTTGGTTTTGGAACAGGAAAGAAACGTATATCTTTTTCCAACCTCTCCAGGTAACGAGTATCAATAATACATGACGTACCCCAGGCTCAACATTTAGCTCCAAATCCACAAAACCAGCCTGAAAATGAAGGAAATCTGAAATGACTACATTAGAGTCAATGGAGCACAGCTGTGTTGTTACTGTTGTACTGATGCTACGCTATGACATATATTTCAATAAGTATTTGTCATTACATGATATACACTGATACTAGCACAAAGGACAACTTCTGTCAGCTGCTCCTTGTGACGAGGCAGAGGAAAAAAATGGAAGAAAGACAGAGGTAAGAGAAATATCGTCAAGAAACAGTGAGTTAATGAAACGTGTCATATAAGATCGTGCGGTGATAATGTTTCCGGTTGCTGTTATTAAAGATGGGCCCACATCTTACATCACACTAACACCAGACATGATAGTGATCACAACACTAAGATATACAGCAACTGAAAAAAATGCGACAGATGCGACAGACCTGTCATCACTGCAGCAGTGATGACAGATCTGTCGCAACCTCCCATCAGCAGAGTGATAGTGCTCACAATGACAGCACTTTAACAGCCTTGTATTGTACCCCAGTTCGCTTCATTTCTGCAGAGTGTCCACACCTTGCAGGCTCACAATAGACCAATCAATCATGGCTTTTAAAGGAATGCATCACGCCTTGGACCCGGGTCAAAGGCACCTCACTGTGGTTAACGTTTCTGTCTCCTCTTTGCTCAGAAAGTTTTCCTCAAACAATCCCAAGCTATGACTCCTTGCTAGAAATGTCTAGGGCTACATCAGGAGCTCTTTGGGAATACTCTCAGAATGTTTGTGAACACAGCCCCAAGAGTTCAGTCAACAAGCTTTAATCATGTCCCACATGAGTAAAGGCAGATGCGTACATTGAATCCTGTATCCAGTTTATTAGAAAGTCAATTAACAGTTTGGGAAGTTGTGGTTATAACTTTAGTCAACAACGACCTGTTTAGCAATAAAAGACTCATTCCAGCCTTAAGTTGGGGCGGCAGTAGCTCAGTCCATAGGGACTTGGGTTGGGAATCGGAGGGTCGCCTGTTCAAGTCCCCATCTGGACCAAAAATATGGAGCGTGGACTGGTAGCTGGAGAGGTGCCAGTTCACCTCCTGGGCACTGCCGAGGTGCCCCTGAGCAAGGCACCGAACCCCCCAACTGCTCAGAGTGCCTGTCATGGGCAGCCCACTCTGACATCTCTCCACTTAGTGCATGTATAGGTCCTGTTTGTGCATGTGTGTGTTCGGACCTGTGTGTAATTGACAACCGAGTGAAAAAATTGAATTTCCCCTCGGGGATTAATAAAGTATATAACATTAAAAAATTAAGTGAGAGTTCTGGCTGAGCTTGTTCAGTGCGCATGTGGAGTGAGGTAACAGTCCTTTGGGTCTGTTTCATGATTATGTCCAGACTACCCCTGGGCGAGTCGGAGCAGGGAAATTTGCACCGTATTGATTTCAACAGCTGTTGCTACATTTTAGTGTCAAATAATCAAGTAAACTAGATTCAGAACACATTAATCCTTCTTGTCATCTTGTGTCTAGTAAAGGAAACCAGGGTCCAATCCTGGCTTTTGTATTTTTGTGATGGAGGATGCAAAACAGAGCTGATTTCTTTTGGTAGACTGTCCTATGATGGTGTCTGAGCAGTTCTATGGTTAATCTTTCTCTCTACTTATTGACTGAGAAGGGCATTGAATGTGTTGACAGGATTTTCCAAGTCCCCTACCTTTACACATGCATTTAACAAATATATGTTTACTTATCGGGCTTGTTTTAAGATATATTTCTGGGGGAAAAGGTTAACCTCACTTCTAAAAGACATCATCTGGTTACATCTGCACAACATTCGAATGTGTAAGCCTTTTAAAAAACACTAATGCTCATAAGATGAATGATTAGGTGAAAGTCTACAAACCGCACTCAGGTGCACAACAGATAAGTAGATGAAGTCCTATTTTGACTAACAAAGCAATGTTCTGTTTATCCAGCATGTTGAAAAACTTGTTTGTGAGGTACGCTCAGCAAAAATACGTAGACTGAAATGGCAAATAGTAAAATAAGTTAAGCTATTTCCATACGCATCTTTCCTGCTGGACGCCTTCATGAACTATGAATTATGTGAGATCAACATCAAGGTAATCTCCCTGCCACATCATGTCTTTGCTTTTCACTTGATTTGCATGCAGGCCGCATTTACTCTGAGAGGAAACCCTGACTCAAAACACAGTGATGCAGATGGAAACTCAGATTTAGTCAGACAGACACACATTGGTTAATGTTAAACATAGTGTAGGAGCCATTCACTTGATTTATCATATGGGTTTCATTTACATTTATACTTACCATGGTTTTTTATTAGTATGAGATGGCCTACCTTCATGACATATTGAATAATTATTTACATACCTTAGTGAACCCTGAGTTCACTATCAGGTCTGCTCAGAGGGATGGGGTTTTCTTTAGAGGGGGTAGTAAAACCAGTTCGACCATACGCACAGACAGAAAGAAAATAAATGGGTCGTATAGTTTTGAAAGGGATTTTTGTTCTGGACTTATTGTTTGTGTTGAAGTCATCCACCCTATGTTGTTAAGTGGCTCTGGAAAGTTTTTAAGCCACTACACATAGGCACACAGCAACTATTTTCAAACATTTCGACCTGACAAACATGCAGCCAAGAACACTATGTTTTCTTTTCTATTGACTAAAAATAAAATTGTGTCTTGTTAAATTCCCTTTAGAGGTTTATTGGTGCTGACAGAATTACAAAGCAGCCGTCTATATCAAATGTGCTCCCATCTCCAGCTCTCAACAAATCTCTGACGGGTGTCATAATGAAAAACACTTTCTTCTAACTTTGTTGCACTTGGTGGATTTCTGTCATTTGTTAGAGTACTTGTGGCACTGCTTCATTGTGGTGGCGCTATTGTAATCAGCACAGTGCACCAAGGCACTGCCAAAGAGAGAGAAGAGACTACAACGTTTACACCACTGAGAGGTAAAGTTTGCTTGAGCCAGCTGAAGGCAGAGTACACCTGCACATGAGTGCACGTGTTAAGGATGGTACCACCCCTACCACATTTTGAGCCAAGAAAGCCCTACCTGAGTCAATCTACAGACTTGTAGACTTTCTTGTAGGGTTGACACTAAAATTTCAAATTCGATATCGATACCCAGGAAAATATTCAATACTCGATACCATTTTCGATACAGCAGCAAAAAATTAAGAGGCATGTCATTTTTTAAATAAAGATCAGAACAGTAACATCAATGATAACAACAAAAAATCCCCCCAAAATAAATAACAACCAGAAATAAGATCTGTCCATACAAATGTATTTATCTACAGCCTTGTTTATTTTCTGTGCTTTTGGTGAATTGGCACCATATTTTTGTTGCTGATCAAATAGAGTTGGTAGTTTAGGCTCAGGATGATCCTGTTTCTACCTCACCTCACCTCTGTGATCAGAGAACCAGGGGTTACGGGAGAAACCAAATGTTTTTTCAGCTTCAATCTGTGACTTTACAGTTAACATAACTTTTCAGACACACATAATTGTGTTGTCCTGTTAAACTAACACTGTCTATTAATGTTACAGACGGGCATGACTGATTAAGTTTTCTGCTTAGCTCCCACATTAACGTTAGAAGTTATATTTTAGTTTGATGCTGGCGACACCAGCTTCTCAGCTGCTGGTGAGGGGAGGGGCTGTACCTGCTGTCTCACTTCACTAAATATTTCCAAAGAGCGCTTTTTCCTTCATCATTTTTGACCAAAACTGGCTGCTCTGATCCTCCTGCAGCCGGCGTGCACTGTTAGTATCGATACTTTTGTAAATTAGTATTGTATCCGGATACAGCGTTTGAGTATCGATACTTATCAGAGCATCGATACTTTCGACAACCCTACTTTCTTGTTCAACAGGAAGATCCTTTGAAATAGAAACTAATAATAAAATAAAAGAAAATGGGCTGACTATAGAGTACTTCGTTTCACTACATCTTAAGATTTGTTATTAAGAGAACTAACTAACTGAATTATGGTGATTAATTCATCTCACAAGACCTTGTTAATTCAGCACTGAAATATTAGATATGTCACTATTCTATTTATCCAAAGCAGCTTGTAAATTTTGACAGAAATGGAGCACAGCAGATGGTAACAAGGCACCTCTGTGAAAGCACTGGGAAACAAACTCTCTGGGACAAAAAAGAGGAAGGATTGCAAAAATCTCTTTCATAACTTTGTGTATTACCCAAAAATATCATCATGAGCAGCACAGCTGCTTCGAAAAAGGGAAAACACACCCATATACAAACACAAATATTAAACCCCTGAGTAACCAGCAGGGGATCTATTGTGTTGCCGTTATGCAGGCTCAGTGGGTGTGAACTCCGGCCATGTGCTCTGTTCAACACAAGAGGGATAATCTCAGAAGCTGACCAAGCAGCAAACAAACTCTGTGGGTGCTGCTCTGAAGTCAGTCACTCACTCAGCGGCTGCTGTTACCACACATGACACAGGGCACCAGTGAGCTGAGAACCGGAAATCAGTCAACAAGTTAATTAAGATATTAGTTCAGCACTAAACCAGCTACTCGATCCGACAATTGTTGGTGAACGACACAGAAAGACCAGACTCAGTTGAGAGACACTGTGGATAATTCAATATGTACACCTCTGACTGCGCAGATGAACTGGAATTAAAACCTACTCAAGAGAAAAATGAAGAAGGCAAAGGGGTTTGAAAAAAATAATGGAAAGCAAGAGGACCAAAAAGAGAGATGCAACGCACCAGTGAGTAGGAAACTGTAGGGGGGAGGAGAGTGGAAAAAAGGGAGAGTGTGTGCGGTGCAAGTGTGTTCCGGTGTGTCAGGTGCGTGTGTGGGTGTTACTTCTGGTAACCAGGCAGAGACAGACCTCGTCTCGTGGGGATGTGGGGGGAGTGACTTAATCAGCAATGAATACAACCAGAGAGAAAAAAAAGCACATGCAAAGCACTCTGCCTCACTCTGACAGGGTCTCAAGCTCAGAGAGCACTGCCTCTCGCTCTCTGTACAAAAACAATCCTTCCAACAAAGTTCAGCCCGTACATATGAGAGAGGCTGCTGTTACTATCACTCCGGCTGCAGCTGTTCTGTTGCTGCTGACAATGGCGCCAATGGAAATGACTTGTGCTCTCCACCGGACTCTGGATGGAATGTGCTAACAAGCTCAGAGCAACAGACGCTGATGTCTAATGTTTTACTTCTTCACCAAGAGGACTACAGACTGAACTACCTCGAAGGTAAATGGCTCTGACTGCACTCTTTGGCTTTCTGTCTTTACATACTGTATCTGCCTGTGTATGTGTGTGTTTCTATGTGATGCATTCATACAAGCTGTAGAATTGATCTTCAAGATAAAATCTCCAAATGAATCTCAGATATGTGAAATGATTATTATAAACAGATCTACAGGTTTTTGACACAGCGATAAAAAAAAATGGGTACACTGTGAGCAATCAAAGAGTACGCTATTCCTTATATCCATGCTAGGTTTTAGTTGTTGTATCCGTTAGTCTCAGTAAAGGAAGGTGTGTGTGTGTGTGTGTAAGGGGTGAGGGGTGACGACACTTCGACAGAAGATTAGAAACGTATGTATTTCCATGGCAGCCCCCCTGTGGATATCTGTATCTTTGGGCTTTATCAGCAGGGGGACTCTGGTGCGGAAGCTTCACTGGGATTAAGAATAGTCCTCAGAGACATTGTTCCCTGCTAGGATTCTTTCTCTAATACTCTATAGGCTCAACAAAGAATATTTTACATTGACAAGAGTATGACGTCAAGTACTAAGACGGTTTCAGGAGTTTGGTGTACAAACGCTACTAAGCATCAAACATCAACTTCTAATGAACAAAATACAGACAATGCATGCAGTGAAACTTGACAGACTGCTTAGCTGTCACAACCCAAACTGGTTCATTTCAGTGCCAGGTCTGTTCAGGCCTCATGAATGGAAAATGTCAGAAACAAGTGAGAGACCCAGAGAATGCCTTACATTGAAAAATGTGGGTCATTTGATATATAGTCATTCAAAATAGTAGTAATTTATTTCCTTCCAAATTGGTAGGTTCTTTGTGCCTCGGTATCAAATGCTAAGCAGCTTTGGAGATTCAGACGATCCTTATAAATATCATCTGACAAAGACTGCAAAGTATCACACTCATGGGTCCTGCCCTTCTCTCAACTATTGTCCAGTGAGTCTGAAACCTCCCCATATCTCACAAAAAATGTTGTTTACTTAATGCGATGTGTCGTACCTTGCACGTCACTCCTAAAGAGAACCTTAGTTCTCCAATACTCTACGAAAGCTTGCTTAGTGAGCCTTTAGAGTATGTTCAAATTAATGCTGCAACTGCTTTCATTATTGCTAACAATAAGTTGAGAATTGTTTTTTTTACAGGGAATTTAAATTAATGTAAGTGTTTAAATCTATGGAATAATCAAATATAGTCTCTCTCTCTCTCTCTCTCTCAAACTGTCTGTTATTTGTACGTGATAACTGGCTGATTATCAAAATTATAATACATTTTTTATTGATCAGCTAGTTGATTAATTTACTATCTAATGTCTTCAGCACTAGTTTCAAATCATGTTCCTCACAGGGATGACAATATTCACAGGAAAAAAACTTTCATGACTGCTTTTAAAAGGTTTATTTAAGTATACTTTGTCAACTCTCTTCATACTTTGCCTATTCATTTCACCAAATGTTGATACACCAATTCCTTAAATTGGTTGTTTTGTATTTTTGTTGGGGTGCAAAGTAGAGGAAGAGCAGCTCTCTACAACTGTAATTTATTACTCTGCATGATAATTAAAAATCTGACTATATGAAGATCAATTAAAATCCTACATACTTCTGGAATGCTTCTTTTTAATGTTGTAAATGTTTTAGGAGGACACACCAGAGACAATATACTGCCAATTATCCGCCACATCTGAAATACCAGTTATTAATAGACTCAATTCGTTACACTAAACTACATTTCTTGCTCTAAAAACTGTCTTCATCAATTAGTGCTAACCTACATATTTAACCCTATTTATTATCCCCCAGGGTTCCGAGACCCTACTGCAAATAACCAATCTGGATGTCTTTATTGCAGGAGTTTTATCTGTGGTGGTGCTGTGTGGATACGGTGAAGCAGGGCTATTATGCACCTTGAGGGGGCAAAATGCAGCTTCCTGTTGTGCCTTGGGATAAGTACTATTATCTGTTCAGTCATTTACTTGAGGACGAACATGCCAACAGAGCCCAAGCTGCTAGAGCCTCCAAGCTGCAGGCCCTTCTCCACTAAATGTAAAGCTTTGCTGCCCAGCATAGAGGAAGGAGTGCAGTGGAACCGCCATGACTGCCAGGTATGTTTTAAAATATATTTAAATATACTTTCTTACCCCATTTCTAAAAACCTACATTAAACTTAAGAAGTATGCTAACAAATGTGAGTAACGATTGGAGTTAAAAATGTTACAAGGGTACATGTTTGACAGGCTTTGTGTTAATATATCTTTTTTGTCCATCAATAGATGGAAAACTATATCCTGAATAGTCAAATGCAGTGTTCCAATTTGACCAGAGACCTACACTTCATCACAAGACCTCTAAGTCGTGAGGAGGAGGACTACCCCATAGCATTCATTGTGACTGTTCACAAGGAGCTAGAGCTATTTGTGCGCCTGTTGCGGGCCATTTACATGCCACAAAATGTCTACTGCATTCATGTGGATGAAAAGGCTTCATTGGAGTACCAGACTGCTGTACTGAAGCTAGTCAGCTGCTTTGAAAATACCTTCCTCTCCAGCCGCAGCGAGACAGTGACATACGCTGGGTTTTCCCGCCTGAAAGCAGATTTGAACTGCATGAAGGATCTAGTGAAGTCCAAGATCGGCTGGAAGAAGGTGGTGAATCTGTGTGGACAAGATTTCCCTGTCAAGAGCAACCTGGAATTGGTGCGGTACATGCAGAGCAAAGAGTGGAGGGACAGAAACATGACGCCTGGGGTCAAGCAGCCCGTGACTATGAGGCACAGGACACATCTCCAGCACCGGGAGATAACAGGGTCACATGTAGCTCTCAAAGGGCTGGGACTGACGAAAGGTCCTCCTCCACACAATCTGCAAGTTTATTTTGGAACAGCCTACTATGCTCTCACAAGGGCTTTTGTAGACTTTGTTCTGGAAAGCCCAATAGCCAAAGACCTCTTGGAGTGGTCCAAAGACACATTCAGTCCAGACGAGCACTACTGGGTGACACTCAACCACATCAAAGGTAAACTGCCTGTTTCAAATGGGTACACCTGGTGTAAAATTCTGCAGTGCAAATCCTGGTATACAACTATTAATTATTAACCAGTGTGATTATGATGTTTAAATAAAAGGAGGCGTGAGATACAGAAACACAGATCAATGCAACAAGGTCACACAGCATATTTGATCCTTTAACATTTTATAATGGCCCCGGTCCTGCTTTTATGACAGGATTTTATGACAGGCAAAGATTTGTGTTAAACTGCTTTTTGAGGGGCAAAATGGCAATATTTATATGTGGCAAGATTTTCTGGGGAAGTCAGAGGTGGGAAAACTGGTAGCAGCATCACCAGTGTAACACCTGTGGCACTATTGTTTCAAATCACGTACGGCACAAAGGAAAGTGATAGCATGTGAACTTAAGTGACCACATGGTTTAAAATGAAGATGTTTATAATAACATTAATTCTGATAATTAATATCACTTCTTATTCCCAATGTTTTACGCACCCTTGGTTGCTGTCATTTCTCACACTTGACTTGTGCTTAAGTCGGGTGTCAGAATGTCAAATTTATGGTAAATCGAAATGAGAGTTTTTCTCTTGCAACAAAAAGACAAGCATGCCAGTTATTAGGAAATACTGACATAGTCCTGAGCAAGAAACTACCCAAAGAAATTAAATTAGTCCCTGAGTGCTATTAAAGAGGGCGGCTGAAATGTAATGTGCTTATCTTCCCAAAGGGAAATCAATGTCGTGTAACAAACTGAAATCTTTTGGTAACAGATCTGTCCTGAGGTGGCAATAAGGCAGACTTTATCTTAGGAATGAGAGAGGAGCCTATTTTTAAAGTCTAACCTTCGGCTTTTGCCCTGAACCCTCATAGATTAACTGATGTCAATACTGATATTGATCATTCTGTTGCGACGTTAGCAATTCTTATAGTACGTGGAATTTACTATAAAATACTAGTGTAAAAATTAGGCTAACATATATATTCTTAAGGAAACTGTTTTGTTTTTATAATCTTTATAGAATTTAAATTTGGAGCATTACACTTGTGGTAAGTAAACGCTAGGCCTGTTTATGCTTCCCATGGAAAAGTTTAGGGAAGTGGCTGTGCACTGCTCTCATTTAGAGGTGGGAGGGTTAACTAGACATGTGATTGAGGTGAAAAGGACACCGCACTGAAAATCTCACTTGAACAAGCTGCACAAAGATGACACATAGTGCTTTAAAAATAGTGTTTTCTAACAGATTTCCGTTTTACGCCAGAAAAGGCTGAGAACTTACTGACTAGCAGATTCACTTCCCAATCTTGGATAAAGAGCCACAAACAGCCGCTTCCCTAAAGCTTTTCCATGGAAAGTATCTGGGACTGTCTGCCACGCAGTGGATGTGACAGTCCCAAAGAAAGCTAAGTAAATCCTTATAATTCAATTAGGTCACATAATTATAATTCATTGTGTCTGGTTTTGTGTTTGAAGAAGCTCCGAGCAGCAACATAGATGGAGATTGGTCAGGAGACATCCGAGCAATCAAGTGGAGGGATCAAGAGGGGAAAACACACAATGGATGCAAAGGTACAGTAAAGAAGTGCATGTACAATAATGTGGTATTATTTTATTGATTAATTACTGTACCACATGGATTGATATGTCTTAAATTCTACCAGTCTTGTTCAGTTGTAGATTATTACTTCTAGATTTCTTCTAAAAAAGTTACTGAATTACCGTAAACCTAAAATTAAAAGCCTAGTCCCTTTAACTAGCCCAGTGTGGCTACACATTTTGACAAATAAAGGGTTGTCTCAATTAGACCCCCAGTCTGGTTACCAAGCAGTTCATTTTATAGAAGTTCTTTGGATGTATAAAACTTGATTGTTGACTACCCACTTGAGCTAGCGTTAGTCAGCGGCTTATATGCGGCAAATTTACCTTTATGTAAACTCGGTTCAGTTCATTTTACTGAAACCATGAGCACCACAGAAGATGGTAATTCATTCAGACATGACTAAAAAACAAGTGGTGACTCCCTTCCTCTGACGCTGTCATGAAGTCATAAAGTGTCCATTCCTCGATTACCTGGTAAATTATTCATATTCGTTTAGTCCATAAGGGTCCAACGAGCTAACGAGATAAGTGTTGTTGGGTCGGTATGTCAGGTGGCGTAATCCTAAAGTGCCGTGAAATGAGTGTCAAGTAAGAAGCAAGTATACAGTTAAGTATAAAAGGAATTAAAGGCCTGTGCCATATAGACGCCTGTCCCAAATATAAGCCTGCTGAGTTCAGTGATTTAAGCAAATAAAAGCCCGGGCTACTAATTGAAGTTTTACGGTATTAAATTTTTGTGGTCAAACTCACTTCTACACACTAGGGATGGGCATAAGTACTCGAGTTCTTGAGTTGGACATCATAGATCTGCGCAGCTGCACATAATGCTCGACGCTTTCAGTCAGACATCACTCGATCTTCCGTGAGAAACAGAGTGGCGACCTGGCATATGAGTGATGTTTGGAAGTATTTCGACAAGATAAATGTGCACTACAAGTTATGTAATGTCTAACTTAGGTATAGTTAATCTCTACACTCTGTGCTGTGCAGTGCAGAAATGTTAGCCTACCTCATGTGACATAAACCCTGTCTGCTCCTTCCTTTTTGTATTGTGTTTGGCTCTTTGGCTCCAGACAGGATTACAGGACCAATTACTGTCTATGGCAACACAAGATTTACTCAACAAAAGATGATAAGAGGACAGATATGAGGATTTATCTGATATAATGTACACTCCAGTAGGTTTAGTCTGTGTTTTATAGGACCTGTCACAGATAAACGATTTCAAAAAATAGGATTTTTATGTGACAATAAAAATGTTTGGAAAACAGACTCGGGGCTAATGTATGTAATGTAGTGGTACATAACAAAAATTGTTGTTGTTTTCCAGGGCATTATGTGCGAGACATCTGCATCTTTGCAGTTGAAGACCTGCCGTGGATCGTCATGAGGAACAGCATGTTTGCCAATAAGTTTGAGACTAATAGCTTTCCCGAGGCCGTCGACTGCCTGGAGCAGTGGCACAGGAACAAGGTGTTGAGCCAGGCAACTGTTCCCATAGAGCCATCATGGCTGCTGGCCACACAGAGCAACTCAAGCAGCAGCCATTTCCACAGCACTGCTGGAGCATGAAATCGCTTTTGGTATCCTCAAAAAAACGGTCAGGTGGCGTGAAGTTTCGATTATATGCACTTGCCTGTGAATGTCGAAAATGTGAACAGAAAAAAAATGAACTGAGAACAGCAGGACGAAGCACTGCCCACTTCCTCTGCAGTGTAGTTATAGTTTACAGACATATTTATCTATTTATCATACTGTAAGACGACTGCTCTTTTTGACAGTAAGAAGACAGTATGGACTAAAATATCTTTACAGTAAAGTAAATTAGTTAAAGCAGAAGTTCTATGAATTCAGTTTCAAAACTATATACCAGTATACAACAGATACTATGTGAGACAACTACACTGTAGAGTATTACATAAACAACTGATAATGCATTTCCTACTGTTTAATTTAATTTAATATTTTGACTAATATTGTTTAACTTATTGTCATTTAGTGTGTAGTCCAGTTAAAGAACACTTGGTTATATACGCAGACAGCACTGATTCTTGCAATAGGTGTAAAAGTTAACCTGCTGACTATGTACACATGTTCCTGTCATGCACACGATTATCATGATTGGGCTGCTATATTTGAGACAATTAGTAATGTACTGGGGAAAACAGTAGACCTTGACCCCCCTTGCTGCCCTCTTCAGAATCTCCTCCGTGTCCAGTATGCCCAAGACTGCACAACAAGTCCTTGCTTTAACGACCTTACTCGCTAGGAGACTCATTCTCCTTAAATGGACGCACTCCTCCCTTCCTACTCATAATAGATGGATTCATGAAGTGCTGCAGTGCATTGGACGTGGGAGGATCAGATTCTCTGTGAGAGGATCCCTTATGACTTTCTATAAAATTTGGCAACCTTATTGACTCACTATCAGTGATGTAACTCATAAAAAATAAACTGAGCCGCCCCTTTTTGTGTTGTTTTGTTCTGTTTTGTCTGTTGTTGTCATTTGGCATGGTTCCAATTTGTCTTTGTGCTGCGTGTGTGTGATTGTTTTTCACGGGTGGGTGACAGGGACCCAAACATCCTGGAAGGTAGACGAGAGTGGGATCCAGGAAAATTGATAGGAGTGGGATGGGGGTTATTATAGGCATCACAGAACCCTGTTTCCTCAACTGTTTTTGTGAATGCTGTTAATTTCTGTGTAAAAACTAATAAAGAGAGTTGGAGAGAAACAAAAACTTGTTGATTACCTTTTTTTCTTTCTTTATGTATTAGAGGGTAGTGGGTATAAACAAATAAATAAAGATGATAAAAAAAATTCCCTTTTCCCTTTTTGTGATGTTGAGACTGTAACAATTATCACAAACTCAGCCACTCATGAATTCTGCGCCACCTTGCGATTTTGTCCCATCACCGAAACTTTACCGCAAATCTGACCATTGAAAAGGGGTAAAATCTTATTTAATTGCAGAGTTGCGTGCAGCATATTTATTTGCTCAGATCCCCTACCCCTCTCTCTCTCTGTTTATCATGAGACTAGTGCTGCAGGACTGGAGCTCCATGCCAGGTGCAGAGTCACACACACATACACACAAACACACACGGTGACAGGGCTATACGTTGGTATCACAAAGCCAGCATTACCAAACAGAGTCAAGCCACACAGTGTGAGGTTAATAGCCCAGCATCAGATGTTAACCACTGCTGCAGGGTTTCGGCCAAAGCGACAAAAATATGACAAGTGGTGATCACATCCTGTTGTGTTGGGTTGGGGCACACTAACCTACCATTACAAATAGGTGCTAATTCTGTGGGAAACACTGAGTGCTCATAATAATATGCCCCAAATCTGTGACAGCATCACAACTATTTTTGTAATTTCTATTTGCCCCCACAATTATACATAAGGTATAAGTATGGGCATGCTGTTTAAAGGTACAGTCGAAAGATGAAAGAAGTTGTCCACTGTGAGGGGTTGTCAACCGCATGGGAATAAAGACTTCACCTTCAAGAAAAGAGGAACAGGGATAAAGAGAGACAGAAGCCCAGCTATGACCTTGAATCTGAACCCTTACAGACAACTTAGGCCTAGGACTGCCCAGTGGTTTACAATTAAGTGTGTCATTTTTTGCTACACATAACTAGGAGAGATGCTATGCAAAGATGTATCTACAGCACTTGTCCAACATTTGTGACATGTTTATTGTATGAGCTATACATAATCATAATTTAATTCTGCTTTTTGTGTGCTTTTTGCTTGGAAATGTGAAGTCCTATAACTACATTCTGACATATTCATCAAATTTGCCTACAACAGTCCACACTATGCCAGCCAAATGTGAGCCCACGTAAAGAGCATGTCAAGTCTACCTAAATGTCACTGGCTATAAATACACAAAACATCCTGTGTGTTGCTTCATAAGTCTATCTAAGGAAAAATATCTGCAGACAGAGTCAGTTTCCCACAAGATGCTCTGTATCTTTTCCTAAAGTTTCAGGCCCTATTTCTGGCAAAGTCAAACAAGCACTCTGTGCCAAGATGCTTTCACCTCCACGGAAACAATAACAGTGGCTGGATATAATCTGCTGTCTGTGGCCTCATAATAGCCTGTGCATGAGAAATTACTATCATAGTTTTAAAGTTACTTAAATCAGGTCAGGACTCCACTTTGTTCATAGGCTGGCCTCTGCTTCCCATGTGGCTCCATTTGGTTCATTGTCAGTACCCGCTCAAAAAGAGGAACAGTTACAGAAAAAGAAGAAAAGGTAAACCCTAAAGATGCCAATAGATACTGGACGAAAGAGAGTGACATCCTCAGGTTAGCTGGGTCTGTGACCACAATTTTCTGCTTTGAACAGTGAAAGAAATAATGTCAAAAAATACCAAAACTACTTACAGAAAAGAGGAATTAATATGTGACCAAACATGAAAGACAATCACACATCTCAGGTTAGACTGGGAAGGTTCTGCTTCCCACTGGTCTACAAAGGGATTTGCAACAGATACAGTATGTGCAGACAATAGCAATTCATCAGCAGATGCAACAAATAAACAAAACTATTTTTAGAACTATTGCTAGTCATATTTTTGTTAATGCTGCTGCTATTGTTTTGTTGAGCCCAATATATTGTAAAGGAAATGTTACGATAACTGAGGTTAAAAGTCTTCAGAAATGCGATATTGTTGTTTATTATTGTTACTTTCTTTCACTGTGACATTGTTTAACCCAACTGGCTGTCATTTTGGATTATCCATAAAACTGTAATTACAGAAAACTGATAAGATATCCATGTATTTTCAACACAAACCTGTAAGCCATCTGCATAATTATAAACTTCAGACTTTAAAGTGACAGGCCATCTCCTCAGGTTTTCTGATATGTGCTGTTCCTCACTTTTTTTCTTTATAATTTTGAGTATTTTTAGTCTTCTAAATCCCTTAAGTAGTGTAAATAAAACTGGGGAAAGTGTAAACAGTGCACAAACTGTGTTTTTATTTCTAGCTACCCCAAGTTTCTGGATACCTAACACAATTTATTCAACTAGTGTACAGCATACTAGCATACACTGTTTTCAGATTTCAAAACCTCCCATGGGAACTTTAAAACATTATACTTCATATACATGACACTCAATCTTATCCATCTGAGCAACAGATTGTGCATCTGGAACCTCGCCAAAGACAGACTGCTAGTGTGTTATCTACATTGATAACAATGCTGCTTATTTACCAAGCATTAGCAGTGAGAGATATCCGTGTGTGAGAAGCAGAATCACTGCCAGACATCGATTGTTCAAAGATGGAGAGGTTTAGTGGACGGGAAGATTAAACATCTATTAGTAAAATTAAGAAATGCAATCGTAAGTGGCAAACCATGGTGTATCAAAGAAAGTTGGAACAGAGTAGCTGAGAAAAAAAGATGAAATATTGCTCACCTTGTGGCAGATTTCTGTCTTGACCTCCTTCAGAGCCCTGTCAGAAAAGACGCAGCCACAGGTCTGCAGGTAACAGAACCTGAAAATGGAAACATTAAGCATTTGAAAGTGAAATCTTGTACCTTTCATGCCATTTCCTGCAGACAGTGAATTGTGAATACAAGTGTGTCAGGTGGATTTTTTTTTTTTTTAATTCCAGTGATGAGAACAACTGAGTTCTGCCAAAAGTTTTTACAACACATATTAGGTTTAATAGCACATTGTGATCAACACTGAATATTACAAAATCTAACAATCTACATCTTTAAAGTCTCACCTGGTAAGTACTAAACTAATCTGGATGCACTGAGTTGATCTTTACATCAAATGGAGAACCTTTTCTGATGATACTTGATGCATTACACTTAGCGCAATAAAAGCACCAGCCTCTTTATCATTTCAAGGTTGTGGACCATTTACTTGTTGCTTGTTACCTGTGCTTGCCATTCATCTCCAACCCAACAACAGGGCAAATGAACATGCCGCAGTGGATGTCCTCATATCTGTCTCCTTTAGTATTCCTCCTCTCTCCCTCCCACTCTGGGTTATCAGTCAAGTTAAGCTCCTTTATATCCTGCACAGGGCATAGACAGATAAACATGCAAAATTCAAATGTGACACCACATACAAATGCACACAAGTGGCAACACAAATAAAATCAGACACAGTTACACAGAGCAGAGCAGCAATGGAAATATCTGTGTTTTAATAGGAGCAGTAAACATCAATGCCAACATACTAGGGCTGGAACAATTAGTCGAATAATCGATGACTAATCCACTATTAAAATAATCGGTGACTATTTAAGTAGTCGACTCATCGGTTTCAGTCATTTTTCATAGAAAAGTACCATAAAAGTACCCAAAATACCCCTATTGCAGCTTCTTACGTTCAAATATTGGCAGCTTTACACACTCTCCCATGACGGTGAACTAAAACCCTTTGGTGTGAGTATGAAACAAGACATTAGATGACACAATTTGGGGGTTTGGGAGAGACAGACCGACATTTTTCAACATTTTACCACATTTTTCGATAAAACGATTAGTCGACTAATCGAATAAATAATCGACAGATTAGTCGACAATGAAAATAATCGTTAATTGCAGCCCTGCAACATACCTTGATCCCACGGATGTGAGCTACTGCCTCAGCATTGGGTCTCTCAGCAGTCTTATCCAGGAGGTATTCAATGATAGCATCTTTGTTATACAGCCTGAAACATAACATGGAGAAGACTTTAAGAACATAGTGTGCTGCAATAAGTTGGTAACTGGATGGATGGGCTCAACTGGTCATGACAAGCTCAAGTCTATGCCACGAAGACAATATGTTAATTTAGTGTCACATTATAGAGCCATTTAGCAGCTAACTTTGCCTGATTACAGATGTACAAACAGTGGGCAAACTCTTACCTTCCCAGATCACAAGCGACAATGGGGCGTCTGAGTTTCTCCTGGCTCAAGGCACAGTATTTCCACTTGGCAGCCAACTCCGCATTTTTATCAACCTGGACACATCAACAGTTAACATACCGTAAGAGTACACCAGACACATATAATAAACGTTACTGGGCTTTTTCTTCACTGTAAGGCGACTGAACTAACATTAGCGTAGGTTAGCTGCACTATGTTACGAAGCTAACGTTAGCTAACTAGCAAGCTAAGGAGTAGTTAGCCGACCTAACTGCGTTTACATAACGTCTAACAAGACAAGGCCGGTAAATGACTAACATATCTTTATACGTAACGTTAAATAAAATACGTAAATTGTACTTAACGCCAATCATTTTCAAATATCTGTAAGCTAACGTTAACTCTGTTAGCCTGTTAGCTAGCTAACAGCTAGCAAACAACTGACAACGCTTTTATACATTTGAAAAGCGAGGAAAAAAAATAAGCGTAACAGACCTTCTCGACTTTTTTGGGCCCTTTCACCAACTCGTGTCTCTTAGGAATCGTGCCACCGTCACATCCCATCTTGAAAGCTGACTTGTGAAGTTTATTCACTCAGTTAGCTTACTATGAACAAAGCTGCTAGAAGAGGCAGGAAGTCCCGAGGTTGTAAACAAACGACGAGATATCTGCAAAGCTCGCGGGATGTGCGATTGGTTTGATGTCGCCCTCCAGTGGCTGAATGAATAAACTACAGCTCTACATGTGTATTTTGTAGCATCAGCCACAGTGTGGAAGCATCAGCCCAAATATCAGTTTACTAGTTTCTTTGCAGCAGGCAGCAGGAGTAGAAATGTAGCCTACCATTT